TTTATTTTTATTTATTCAATTGTTCTATTTTTACTTGTATTTTATTTCACTATTATTTCATTTCAGGTTTATTTTGGTTAATATAATTGTTATTTTCAGCTATTCATTTTTAATTCTTCTTTTTTAGTTGTTTCAGGGATTTCAAATCATTTTATATAGTTGACAATGGAAGTCCGAACTAGTGAAATTTATCAAACTTTTATTATAATTTCAATTCTGTAAAGTTGTAAATGAATGTGGTTAATGTAATTTAATATTTTATTTTGATCTTTTTAGGGCACTTAAAGCTTGTTTTAAAAGTTTTATCATTATTTTATTCAACTACATAGGCAGCTTATTGAAGCAAGTAATGGCATTATACTGAGGGGATTTTTTATAGTTTGTCATTTGATGATGTGGGATTTTTAGAAGATCACCATTTCTTGTATCATGATTGTGTTCTGAAGCAGTCTTTTCATATAATTTATGGTTTGCCTAACAAGCATGATACATTTGAGGATGAAGATGGAGGGAGCTGTCAATATTTTTTCGTTTACTAAACAAGCCGGCAGCTATCTCGGAAATTTATATTAAAGATTAGCCTTATGACGCGTTTCTGTGTTATAAAGACTCTAGAAAAATCCCTTGCCCTGCCCCAATTCCCAAGCCATAATAAATAAATAATCATCTTATTTTTTTAACATACCTCGTATGTATGTAGTAGACGATGTGTCGCTATGATTACACTTCAAACCACCATTCCCAAACTTCAAAAGTATATTTTCAAATAATTTTTTGCAATGACCGAAGAGGTTCCTTCGGTTGGCTTCGTCAAACGAGTGCAGAGAAAGACTAAAGACTCTAGATTGGAATTGCATAAGTTGCTGGATGAGGGTGATGTGATCAAAATAAAAGAAGCTTTCGATCAAGAAGATGGAAGAAGAATGAATAAAGAACTCCTCAAAGAAGTTCTAGCTCGAATAGCGAGAATTGAGTACGACGATGAAAAATTCAATATTATATTCATGAGAATGAATGGCCAATGGTAATATATTATTTTACATTTCTTAAATGATCTGTTGAGCATCTGTCTAAAAAGTTTTTATGAACCTACTCTGGGTTGAGGATATTTTGAAGTACACATTTTCGTTTCAGCTCAAAAACGTCAGAATAGGAAGTGGAAATTGGTTTCTACAACTTTAGTAGTTTTCAAAAGTATCGTTTAAGGTCATATAACAGCTGCAGCTGCTTGCAGCACCCTCCTTTGCAAGGGAGTCAGCAGCCACATTACTTTTCAGGCCAGTATGGCCAGGAATCCAGACCAGATACAATCTGTTAAGTCTTCCTATCGAGGAGAGTCGTTTTTTGGCAGTTTGCTACCAATTTAGACGTGGCTCGGTGAGAGCCAAGAGCTTCTAACGCCGTATGACTGTCCGAGAATATTTTTATTGACTTGTGTATGAGGTTGGATTCTTCCAATCTCTCCGCACATAATTCAATAGCGTAAATTTCCGCTTGAAGTACAGTCGCATAGGTTCCTAGGCAGGTAGATATCTCTGTCCTGGGTCTGCGACTAAAAACACCTGCACCACAACCTGAAGGTTTTCATATGTACTCCATTTCGCTATACGTTAATTTCAAAATTTTCAATGATACAGCAAAAGTTTAAAAATTGTCGTTCAATGTGAATACTCAACCACCAAAATTCAAATGTTTTTTCAATATTGAAAGAAAAATCGTAACGTCACAAAAGATATATTTTCCGTCGAATACAACAATTAAAAGTGAATGTGTATTGATAGATAGATACAGTACCCCTGAGGGCATAGAACATGTCAGTATAAATATAAACATATTTAAGTTAATTCAATTACGAGTCATATTTTCATTTGCCACATACAGGGTCTTCAAAAAATGCAGATACTTTGATCTCATGAAAAAATGACTGGAACTCAATTTTTTCAAGTGGAACACCCTGTATATTTCAACATTTCTGAGCTCTACATCCAATTTTAGATTATTCCCAGATCTTGCATATTTTGTTTTTTGTGTTTCATATTCTCAACTCAGAGTCATTTTTTTTCGAAAAATTATAAACAAACTTCTGATATTATTCTTCTGCTTCACGTTTCAGTAATGGGATGGTGACTTGGGATGAATTTATTTCCTATCTCATTCTGGGTTATGAGCAGCAAGAGGTGAGCTTGGAGTTCAAAACGCTCGACGCTCCCATTCCTCTTCCTCCGACCATGCTGAAGAGCAACCATCGTCATACCATTAACAGAATTACTTTTTACCCAACAGTCAAACCAGACAGATCCATCACATGGCACGATGGTAGTATAATGACTTGTAGCCCCGATGGAACCATAAACTACTGGTCACTGGACATGCAGATAGAGAGAACTGTGCAATCGACTTGTCCTTTGTTGAAGATTCAAAGCACTTGGGTGACAGACATGGTGGTACTACCGGATGTTAGTGTAATCTGTACCTCTAGTACCGAAAGAGATTTGAGATTCTACGATACCTCTGCAAGAAAGTTTGAACTACGTGTAATGATCACGTCTTTTCCAGACTCAATTACAACAATGTATTATACATTTGACAAGGATATTACAGTGCCGTCAAAGTTAATTATGGGAGACATGGGTGGTAATTTGAGGGTTATATTCATTGAGCCAGAAGCAAGAGGCCCCTTCAGAAGCCAGCCAGGCATTCCCTTACGCCATGTTAGGTACATTCGTCTCTGCAACGGTGGAGTGCCCCACATGAAGATTGTAGAGTACTTGAACATACATAAAGATTTTGTCAGGCAAGTTTCCTATTATCCGACTTTGCATGCTTTGGTGTCTTGCTCTCAATGCCCTAAAGGTCTTCAAATGACGGACATGACAGATCCCAAGAAAGTATACGTTTACAAAATAGTAGCGGGAGTTTGGTGTTTCGCACTACAAGAAGGATGTCATATTGTAGCTACCGGAAGTCCGGACTGTTTGGTGCGAATTTGGAACCCCTTTATGCCTGCCAGACCTATTTGTACATTCTACGGACACCACACCGGGATAGTGAGAATGGTTTTCCAAGACAACGCTGAAAAATTATATACTTTGTCAAAAGATAAAAACATAAAAGTTTGGGATATTGGAAAGCAATGTTTGCTACAGACTTATTTGGAGTTACCGCCACAGTTAGGCGAACGAAGTGATCTCACGACTCTTTATAATCCTGAAAGCAGACAGTGGATTATCGGAAGCGTAATGATTGCCGTTTTACCTCTCAGTCCCAAGCAGAGCTTTGAGCATACAGATGGTAATACGCATACTAGTGCTGTATCAGTAGTTCTATACAATAAACTATTCAAGGTGAGTTGAAATAGGAGTAAGGGTTTCTTAATGAGTGCTTGAAATCGAACTAACAGTTGGATTGAAGAATTCGTAGGCTAAAATATTGATGAAATTTGATTTTTTGTTCGATATACTTGCTTTCGAGGGCGATACAACGATTACAGCGGTCATACAATTCGTTTTTATAGTAAAACTTTTCTTCAGCCTCAAAATAGGCCTCAGTTTCATCGATTATATCTTGAGGGGCGCTAAACTTCTTTCCAGCGAGCATTCTCTTGAGGTCTGAGAACAGAAAAAATCGCTGGGGCCAGATCTGGACAATACAGTAGATTAGGAAGCAATTCGATCGAGTTCTCTAGATGATCCATTAAAATTTCTGCAAGTAAGGGGTGTAATGGATTTCCCATAATTAAACCTATTGAGGAATACATATTGTTGTTAAACAGGCAGAAGGTCAATTATTTCTCGTTTTATAACTGGGTTCACTCTATTTTTATCTAATAATTCTATTACTAAAGTAATAGTATCATCAGGAGGTATGCTGGGTAATAGATTCTGCACATCAAAGGATAGTAATTTTGCGTTGTCTGGTAGAGGTATGTTTTCTATTTTATTGATCAGGTCATATGAATTTCGTAGACTGAATTTTGTTTGGAAGCTACAATGGTTGAAGATGATATTGATTAGCCTTTCTGATAATTTCACTGATGATGCAGTGACAAAGGAAACCACTGGTCTAATTGGATGACTCTATTTGTGCAGTTGTTGCCATAGTCGATTCGGTCAATAGCAACCACAGTGTTGCCTTCATCTGCTCTGGTCAATATAACACCATTAACGTTAATTCCTTTGATTTTCGTCGTTTCTTTGATATCTTTACAGCCACAGCTATCTCGATCATCCAAAATTAGTTTATGGACTTCTTCATGTTGCCGTCGATAACAGCCTCTTTGGGATGCGTCTACTTACCAAATCACCTCTTAAAGGTTGATTTTCCTGGTGTAAAGTCCGAATAATGTTTATCAAGCCGAGCTTCCGCTTCATCAGTAATTTTTCGCCAGAAAACAATGCTTTATCAACACTCCAAACTCTTTTTATCCATTTTATTGAAACAAACAACAGGTGCTTCTCTCGAAATGGTCTGTCCCACAAACTAATAATTCGACAGCTGTGAAATTCGGCAAGTTAGCGTTAACTGAATATCATATGGATTTAATCCTAGTAGCGCCTTCTCTTTATTAGCCTAGGAACTCCTCAGCTCACCTAATATACTAGGAAGTAGCGAAATAACCGTAAGTGCCTAGATAAAGCTTGATTTTTTTGTCAAGTTGCTTAAGATCTTTATATTAATCATTAACTTTCGGAAGACTACTGAAAATTGTATTCTCATGATTAACACAAAGGAATTCTTGAGCTCTTTCTGCACTTCATTATGATATGAAGGAATTTTTCACTTTTTGTCTTCGAGTAGGAAAGTATTTTTTTTGTTAGCATTTTGGGTGGGAAATGATTTTCCATTAGTTGTCGTATTTTAAATTCTTCTACAAACAACTTATGTTAAAAAAACGCGATGCTTCGAGAACCATAACCGTTTCCAGTTACAAAACAAAATATTCAATTTGAAGGGGGAGATATCTTTTAGGAGAGATTAGTTTTCGGGAGAAAAGCGTTTCAAAATGTTACAGTTTCACCTTTCTATAAAAAAAATGTTAAAAACTTTCGTAAAAAATAAAGAAAGCGGTTTCGTTCCAAATAAACTCTCAACCAAGATGTTTAGATCATGCACAGAATTCTCTTTCACATGCTAACTGAGAGAAAAACCTTTTAGAAACACTTACTTTGAGGTGAACATCAATTTACACGAAAGAAAAAGTATTTTCGAAAAAATTACTGTCATATGAATAATAAATGACACGAAAAACACTCAGTATATGTTTTTAAAAATTAATTTCACTCAGCTGCCGATGACCACGTGACTGCTACGTGGCAAGGGAACCCGAGGGAAGAGGCGGAGTCCCAAGATGGCCCGAGGGGTGAGGCGGAGTGTCAAGGGGGGGCCACGCTCTTTGAATCTCTCCGATACTCATTCCATCCTTCTCTGCATCGATGACGTCACACCTTTCTCTCTTCAACTCACCGAAGTTTCTCTCTGAAACACCAACGTAACACGACCTTGAAGTGTGCTTGGACCAAGCTTGCTCATCTACTGGTTTGAATTTCCCGCGCGATAACTTCTGATTCGTCGACTGTATGACGGCAAAAGTGGAGGAGTGGGCTCTGAAAGTCTAAGGCTCAGTTCACACAGAATGGACGTCTGGCAGAGACGAGGCGTGGACCTTTGTCCCTTCCGTGTGAACTGGGACTGAGGTCTAAAAATCGCCAGAATGGACCTGCTCAAATTTGCACGAGTTTGTCCATGAGGAATGGCTTAGAAGTCTTGCAGCTTTATTACTGAGGTATGTTTGAAGGTGGTTGACAATGTTTCGTGGTGTATTTCATCAGTTCGGACTTCCATTGTCTAATCTAATATAAATTGATTTGAAAACCCTGAAAAAAACAGTTGAAAAAATAATAAGATTAACCGAAAATAACAATTTTATTAAACAAAAAACTGAAATCACAAAGAAATAACATACGAAACCAACCTTTCTTCACAAAAATTATTGGATCACTAAACTAGTTAACTAATATTATTTTGTGTATGCAAGTATTCTTGGTGAAAATGTAAATAAATATGTTTGAGTATCAGAACGTGAAAGTTCCTGAACCTTTAGAATTTGGATATTTTTTTATCTTCATTGAGGGGGCCCCTCTCCTGTGGAGACCGCTGGCGTAGCTTCGCCTGCCCACCCCTAAATTCGGGCCTGACCATTGTATTGAAAAAAATTGACCAGGAAGTTGACCTTATGCTACAGATTCACTGATAACGATTTTCATTTTTCAGTGTATCGTCACCTGCGGTTTAGACAGTTACATCATCGTTTGGGATCCATGGAAAGGCAGGCGCCTTGTTGTGATTAAAGAAGCTCACACAGTCATGCTTCATGGTGAAATAATGCCTGTGGAAATAACAGCTGCAACTTTTGATCCTGGTATAACATTCAAATGAGAATACACCATCAATGTGCTCTTTCGGCTCACTTTAGGAAAATCGTAAAAACAACTTTGGCGATAATATTTTTTCTAGTATTTGTCATGTGACATAAAATTGTTGAAGACTATTTAACCACAGTTCAGCAACAAATAGTAAACTACACTTTTCTATTTTGACATATGAACACACTTTTTAGAATTGTTGCAGATGTCAAAACGCCTTAAGGTCTGTGCCCACTATACCGTACCAAACTATGACAGTGCTAGAACCGTATCAAACACTGAAAATAACACGACACGGTCTACCTTGCCCACTGTAATGGATCAACCGTGTTCTAAGCCAATAAGCAACACGTATAGTGACCGTATCATACGGGAATGATTACCGTTAGATATCCGTTTGACAACTGTAGGCAATGTGAAGTATTGTATGTTATTCCGGCTTACTCATCAGTGTAGTGTGAACGTATAGAAGAATTTACCACGAAGAACGAATATGGCTTGCAGATTATCTACATTTCAATGGAATGTATTGCCAAATAAAATTGAAAATGATACACCGTTTCGCTGCCGGAGACCTACGGTTTAGCAACGTCACGTGCCATGCACGTTGTGTATCAGCACTGGCAAAATATTCTCGACTTGAATACTGTCATGGCACCTGCATGCTACGCTACGTGCCGGCCGGTCTAGTGGACGTTGGTTCACATAAATCGTATGAAAGAATATTTTTTAGCATGTGCCGGTACGTTTTTGGTCATGGTTTGATACGGTATAGTGGGCAGATACCTTTAAGGTCTGTGTTCAGTTCGTTAGTAACTTCGAAAAATGAAATCATATATTTTTGTTTCTGCATGAAAACTTCTGACAAGTTGAATCGGAATCATCAACTAGGTCTGTTCAAAAAATAAGGTGCCATAAATTGGTTTTCCACAATACCGAAAGTTTTTTTGGTATTGCTTCTCGCAAACGGTGCAGAACTCAAGGTGATGCTGTTAATCGTGCCCTAAAGAAAATAATTAGGCGTGCTTTTCTTGACCTTGGCTCTCCTGGGCTCTTCCGTTGGGACGATAGGACCATTGGTTTCGATGTTATAACCATCCAGCCATGATTCGTCACCAGTTATGAACTCTTCGAGTAAAACTGAATCGCCATTGACGTCATTANCCTAGATTATGCCGGCGTCTCTCGTTTGTGTATAGTGGGCATTCGGTTAAAATATGTGCAATAGTCAATTCAGTATCACATATGTAACATATTGGAACTTGTTATCCTGACCACCGTACAATGTTTACATCTACACGGTGTCCTGAGAGTAGATGAGTAGTGAGAGAGAGAGTAGATGAGTAGTGAGAGAGAGAGTAGTGCCTGAGAAATGTGTGTCCAATACGTAAGCGAGATAAGATAGTTTGTGTTCGCCGTTTCTTAGGTGATATTTTCCATGGTATTTCTATTGATCAGAGGGTACAGACTGGCTATCCGACCCTCGACCTTAGATTTAACGTACATAATGTGCGGGTTCCAAGGGAGCCTACGGTCTATTAAAAGGCCGAGGTACTTTACCCGCGCTTGCCAGTCAATCTCCCTTCCAGAGATTCTCACTTTTCTATTTCGAATGTTTTGTTTTTCATGAGCTGCCAGATTCCATCCAGAAAAGAGCCATCCGCTTGATTGTAGACCCGAACATCACCTGCAACCTTGATGGTCTAGAACATCGAAAAAAGGGTGGAGATTGGTCTCTCTTCCACATATACTTTCACGGGAAGTGTTCACCACCACGAGCGTTACTTATCAGAAATACGCGATGAACTGTTGCTGCTCATCGTTTTGAAGTTCAACCCAATACACCTCAAACTTCACTGTTTAGGACATCTTTTATTTGGAGAACTGCGTTTATGTGGAATCAACTTTCCAAGAACGTTTTTCCAAATGGATTTAATTTCCAGCGATTCAAATCCAACTTATTCGCTACTTTCGCACAGGCACCGCTCTTAGGGTGCCCTAAGGATTGTATTAAAAAAAACTGTAATGTCTCAGTGAATAATTAGTCAATGTGGTCGAAATCATCGTGCATTTTTGGCAACATAACACAGGTCGTTACAGGTCGTCAATTTCCTCACGATAGGACTCTGCTGAGATGGTTGGTCCCGGTCAGCAGCCGCTGACCACCATACAGTAACTATGGCTTTTTTTTGTGGGTTTTCGTCTTTGGGAAGTGCCTGGGTGGCTCATTGGTGTCCCACTATGAAATTTAT